CTAACGTTCTGAGGTGAGTTACGGCGTGTTGCAAGTTTTGTGAGGTGCTTTCGTGATATTTAATGGATCGGATTACATTTTTTATTTTTCTCCGATATCCGATCCAGTAATTTAGGTCAGTATCGGACCGATACCGATACGTAATATCGGATCGGTCCATCTCTACCATAAGCAGACTGTCTTACCTGCTGGTTCAGTATTCTCATGTTCATTTGCTGCCCTCAGCATTTGGCCTATGTCTCATTACAGCTGATTGGTTAATGCAGTCTACCCACTAGTATATATGACTCCTATGTGAGTCATGATATGACTCGTGTGAATGTTTTAAATATAATGGACAATAAGAGTCACTAAAAAAAATGAATCACTGACCTTAATACATGTATGGAATCCATCAGTGAAGATCTAGTTTGTTGGTGTCTAATTTTATTTGCTGTTTTTCACTGAAAACATACAAAAATGCAGTTAAAATGTATGTGGTGGGATTTTTTTAATCTACTAAAGCATATTCAAGTTCACTAAAAGATGATGGATCAGATAATGCTGGTTAAAATGACTCATTTCCTGTGTCCTGTTTTTTAAAGACATATTGCCTGGCCTACACTGATGTGCATTCGTGTTTCTCAGTCCACTGGATTAAAATAGAGGCTGTGCTCTTTAGTTACCTGTTGCCATGTAAAATGATCATGCATTGGAGCTCTAATGTAGATGCTTTTTTTTCCATTGCCCACACATAAGCCTAATTGAGGGTGAATATACAGAACTTATTTATTGAACCAACTCTAATCAACTCTTTTAATTAACTCCTAGTTTAAGTTTATACACAGAGTTGATTGGTTTAACCAGAATTTTGGAATAGATGTGAAGACTGATGTGTCAATGATGCTTCCACGTAGCCTGACATGCACCTCCCCAGGAAATGTAACTACATTTCTGTCAGCACATGGCGAGGAAACTCTCAACTTTGGTCACATTGCAGAGGACTTCATTTCCTGCCCTCATGTGTTTCTTCCTAATTAGAATCACCTGTGCCCTACTTTATTACATTTCCCCCATCGGCCATGTGTTGTTGATTAGAAGATCCTCAGTCATTCAAGGGAAAATTATTTCTGGGTCGAAGGAAGAGAGAGAACGTGAGTAAGCATACGTTATCTCAGCATCTCAGCATCTTTGTGTTTAAGAAGCTGGCTGTTCTCCTTGTGGCAATGGTAACCAGACCTACCTTCTTCTTAAGGACTGTATGGACTGATATATGTGTACTTAAATTCAGTTTCAAGTAAAGTCTTACTTTTGAGTCGAGTGTCTTATTGATTCAATTGTTGCTGGAAAAAAAAGAATGGAAAAAATACACCGAAGAAAATTGTAATGAAATGATTTGCATTAAAATCAGTTTGAGAAAGGGCTTAATATTAAACCAAAACAGATGTGTCAGTTCCTCCAACAAAGCCAACAGAGTCATTAAAAAAACTCAAATGTTAGCTTTTCTGAATAAAATCAAACACCAAATCCAATTTTCTATATCTATTTATTTAATGAATGAGTCTTTGGTAAAGTCCTAAAGCGTGACATGTGTCATTGTGTAAACTGGTTATGTCAACCACAGTTGGTAGAAGTTAAACACAGCTACAGCACAGATGAAATTTCCTAAACACAATGATTGATATGCTGGTTTGGAGTGCACAGCCAGGGCGGTGAGTTTAAAGTTGATATCAACAATTGATAGAAATGAAAGAGGAGAAAGAGTGTGTACAACATGGTTGGAGAGGTCGAGGAGAACAATAGTTTCAATACAACAAGGTAGAAGAATTCTGCATTGCATTCTCTAATGTATCATGTATCATAATGTTACTAATCAGTGTAGCCACTGTCATCCGAGTCATTGTTAGAATTGTCTTGGTGCTTTTGTAGGGTCTTTACCTTACAATATACAGCGCCTTACAATATAAAGTGTCATGAGGCAGCTGTTGCTGTGATTTGGTCCTATATGAATAAAACTGATTTTAATTGAGAGCGATGTGTGACAACCCCACAGATATAAACATGTTCCCAACCTAGTACAAAAGTATAATTTCCTATTGGAATCACCTCTGTGTGACAAGTGTGCCAACACTTAATCTACCCCATTACTAAAATAAACCTCATCACTGTAGTTGTCATGTTGGTGCCATTAAGAACTTTTAATAATACTGGTTACACAGTTACTTAGGTTAGTATTTTAGTCTCATTTTGCCAGTATCATTATCAGTTACACTGTCTATAGTTTTAATACTAAAGTAAAAGCTGTCTAAACTTCACACGGTAAATGTCATGCGTTGGTGTTTGCAGTTAATTAATCAAGTACTTAACTCTCAACTGGGTTTATAATTAGCTTAAATATTTGTCATGGCGGTGTTAACAAGGGTCAAACTTCACTAATAGCCATTTACATTCTGCTATACTCCTCGTTGCTTAGTTTCTTTGCTCATTAAGATGTTCACATCATACAGACACTTCTTGATCTCCTCTATTATAAACCTGAGGTCCCCCAGAAGCCAAAAAGAACATTTGGAGGCTCTTGATAAATAATGATTAAAAAAAAGAACAGTATAAAGTCTTATTAAAATGTAATATGGAGATTTTTTTATTCTACTGCTTTTATGTGTTTTGTACCATGCATAATTATTCTAAGGGGATTTAGTGCAGCCTGGTTCCCCTCATCAACCTCCTCCCAAAGTGACTATTTTATGCAGTGAATTATTGAACAATCAAACTGATTATGGTGAGCTTCCAATTTAAGATTTGAACTGAAGGAGGCATAACCTTGCAGTCTCTCGACACAGTACAACTGGCTGTAGATTGTCTAGCACACCTCAGTATCTCAGAACGCCTGAGTCATTTAAACCTTGCTCCTGAACCTCTGGTCTAAGTGGGTGTAAAACAATAGACCCTCTTTGACTTGGACTCACACTGAGACATGACTAGTGGTCAGACTGTGGTCATTAGTTTGGATCTCTAACGGCAACGGGAAGATGAAAAAGCTGCACACACTCAGCCGCACTGTCGGAGAATAAATGACGGATAATAAAGGTACATGTTGCACATGTAATGAAGTTAGTGACTGAATTCAGAATGGATAATTTTCACTGCTTTGGAGCACAGACTTCACAACCTCCATTTAATGAAAGCCAAAGGGGAATCAGTGTTATTTATAAGATAGTTTAAAGAGTGTGTCCCAGCTGATTTCCGGAACGCCTCATGAGATTCATGGGCATGAACTACCACTAATGCTGCAAGCTGACGGTTGATGCTAATGCCCACTGCTTCTGCTGCTGCCTGGCTATGCAGTGAGAATTCAGTATTAGTGTAACTGAGTGACGATTAAATGTAACGTTACATTTTATTTTCACAGCTTGCCGTATGTGGAAGTGGAAATGGATCCCTTAAAGTCAAGTTTTGTTATGATAGCATTTATTATAGTTACATAGTCTTAAGAGATTTAAGAGTCTTTCAGTAACTAATTAGTGATTCATGTTCTTCCCATCCACGTGTTGGTGTCTTGAAGTAAAACACAGCAAAGACAGTGCAGATGGTCATGCCAGTGCCGTCTCCCATAGACCTTTGTCTATGTCTGAATAGGTGAATGACAGATATAACTGAAGAGAACACTGAATAAAAGCACAACATGAATGCAGCCCATTTACCATTTAGGTCTTGAAAGGAGCCTACATGACTGGAACAAATTGGACTAAGTTTGCAATGAAAACACAAGACTTTGGCAGAAAGGTCTAGTTCATTGTCCACTGAAAAAGTGACCACTGGTGTGAAGAAACAACTTACCTCAAGTACAATATACGCACCATTAACTGTGGGTTTAAAGTGCTAAAGCTTTTGTTCGTCCTCCAGCTACCCTGACCTCCTCCCTCCTCATATGCTATATTGCAGGATTTTTAATTCACCTCAAAAGATTTCTACTGTGTTACAAAACCCGAAGATACTTTTTATTATATAAAATAGGTGAAGTGATCTTTTGGAGAAGCATTAGTCTCTGAATACATGCTGTTCTCCCTTTAAAAATAAAAATAAAAAACTCACCATCAGTGGACATCCATCCGTCCATTCAAAGAGGCATTTTCTTTACCACTTACCTGGAGTTGGGGTAGGGGACCTTTCCCAGGTGTGACTGGATGTCTAACTTGTCTAATGCTGGGCAGACACTGTGCGATTTTTTTCAGTCGCGCGATTCAGCTCCTGCTCAAACTGTACGATTGACTCGCAGGGGTTAGAAGTTCATAGGTCACGGTGCAGGGTCTCACACTATACGGCCCGATGCTCTGATGCGACCTGAGTGCTCACACTGTGCGTACATGCACAACACGTTGTGTTGTTGTTTCCGGAAGAAAAACCCGGAAGTCAACCGCCAATAAACAATAAGAAGAAGAAGAATCCGGAACTGGGGAGACTGTAATCCGGGAAATTTGAAAATGCTCACCAAAGAGAAACGCACTGCCTTAGCAATGTGTGCCATTCTGTGTGCAGAAAGATCTAAAAATAAAAAGCGACTGCGTGTATGGACAAGGAAATGGCTAGGAAAACGTGGGCAGTACGGTCTGTCAATTCTACAACGAGAACTGGAGGTAAGCAGCAACAGCTAAATTGCACTTACCTACAGGACTTTATCTGCATGATGATGGGTAAATGTTTGAAGACATCTGATGCTTCTACTTTCAGTAGGCAACATTTAATTTTAGCCTATTAGTATTTTATTTAATTGGATTACTGGCCATTAACTACAGTATTTTTACATTTTACTTGAGTAGCATTCTAGTGAATGACTTGAACATCTACCAAAGTGATTTTTAGGACATCTTTATACAACATTGGTTAAATATCAGTCCGACTCTTTAATTATCAATAACATTCAACCACTATTATGTCGCTTTGTTATTGTGTGTGTTCTTGACTTTGACTTTGTTCTGTGTAAACAGGTAGATGATATGAGGGGTTTTCGGGACCTTCTCAGAATGTCTGCAGAGGACTTTAACTATCTACTGGAGAGGGTTAGTCCTGCTATCATCAAGAAGGATACACACCTCAGGAAGGCCATCAGCCCCAGGGAAAGGCTTTCAGTTACCCAACGATTTTTGGCAACAGGCAAGTGTGTGGACATGAAAATTCATACTACATAAGCTGCTACTACTGCATTATATTCTACATCTGTCACCTAAAATCTGTCACTCTACGAAGCTGCATCCATGTCCACTATCCACCTGACACTATTTAAGACACTTTGTTCTATTTGACAGGTGAAACCTTCAACTCATTAAGTTTCCAGTATAGGATTGGAAGCACCACACTGAGCAGGATTGTCATGGAAACATGCACAGCTCTTACCTGTGCACTGCATGAAGATTACTTGAAGGTAATTTTGACAGAAAATACATTACCCATGCTCACACTATTGAAAGATTGACTTGCACATTGTCAGTTAATACAGCAAGTTTTCACCAAAAACAATTCTGAGTCACAAATGTATTTGTTCAGTCTTTGTTACACGTGTATATAAAAAAGTAAAGTGAACTCATAGTGTGACAGTGCCTTGAATGTGTGGTTAAGAAAGGAAATCATGAATTCACCAGATATTCTTTTGCTGTATCACTTTCTACTTGTCTTTCACAGACACCATCAACCGAGTCTGAGTGGAAGGCCATTGCCAGAGACTTTGCAAACAAGTGGCAATTTCCACACTGCCTGGGAGCTATAGATGGTAAACACATCTTCATCCAACCCCCTCCCAAGAGTGGCAGCATGTATTTTAACTACAAGTCCAGGTTTTCCATCATTCTTATGGCTGTTGTTGATGCCAATTACAAGTTTGTGTATGCAAGCGCAGGGACACAAGGTAGGGTCTCTGATGCAGGAGTGTTTGCCCATTCAGACCTGAAAGAAGCAAGGGACACAGGCACGCTGAACTTTCCCCCTGCTGATACCCTGCCAGGCACTGATGCTATAATGCCACACATGCTAATTGGAGATGATGCTTACTGTATCCCCTCCGACCAGATCTCATGAAACCATATCCATTTCGAAACCTTAACACCGATCAGAGAATATACAACTACCGTCTGTCCAGAGCACGTCGCGTTGTGGAGAACGCTTTCGGAATTTTGGTGAATCGCTTCAGAGTGTTCAGAACAACAATTTGCCTGGACCCAGACAAGGTTGTCACCATTATCTTTGCGTGTCTTTGTCTGCACAACTATCTCCGGGACCACAGATCTGACGCCTATGTACCACCTGGCTATGTGGATTCTGAGGATGCCAACCACCAGGTGGTCGAAGGTGCATGGAGAAGGGAGGGAGAGCTTCAGTCAGTTTCAATGGGCCTTGCACGGAACCCCTCAGTGGAAGCAAAGAAACAACGAGATGTCCTTTGCGAGTACTTTGTCTCACCTGGAGGGAGTGTTTCATGGCAAGAAGACATGGTGTAGGAAGACAGAAGGGTTTTTTTGTTTGTTTGTTTTTTTGTTTAAATTGCCTTGTTTACTTTCCAAAATTTACTAAATAAAAAAAAAATCCCTTTGTAAATACTGACAACAATAAATCTACCTCTGGGAAATTGCAAAAATGGTTTGCTTTATTACATAAATACAAAAATATCTTCCATCAAATTGTGCAAATAGTTCTGCAACACTCCACAAAACTGAGGTACGAAAGACACATAGTAATAGTGTCACCAAGAAAATTCTAATGTACAATTTGAATTAACTGTTGGAACATTTAAAACATTTGAATGAAGCTGTAATTTCAATGGACTGTGTTTACAGCAGGAACTAGTAAAGTTGAACTAGTAAACTCAAAAATATTCTTAGATATAACTGTTTGAAATGTATTATTTAAGTTACTCAGAGTTGAGCATTTTCAGAAAGGACATTGGCTGGGTTGATGGGGCCTGGCAGTCTGGGGGGGGGCTGGACCTGATGAGGTTGGGTGGGATACCAAGGTGGCCTAACCTGCAAACCTGCAAATTGAGAATGGTGGCCTCCCTGCTCAGCCTCCTGCGTGTCATAAATCGTGTTCATGATGTTTCTCTTGAGTCGCAGCTCTGTAGAGCTCTGTCCTTTATGTTTCTCAACTCTGAGGCTACTTGTTGGCCAAACAGCTCCTCAGAATCTGCATTAGATGCTGATAGCGTTTGCTGGACCTGCTGAAGCAGGGAAAGTTTGGTCATCTCAGTGCTGTGCTCTGTTGATTTTGGTGCATGTTTTTGCACTCTACGTCTTTTAACAAGCCGACCTGTGGACTCTGAGATTGGTGGACTGTTTGAGGTGTTTTCCTCTTCCTGGCTCACTGAAACTGGGCTAGTGGTGTTTGAAGACATAAGGACATCTTCTTCAATTCCCATAGTGGACTGATCCTCATCTCCCTCCTCTGTTGCGCCTATGTCCTCTGACTCTGTTCCAAGCTGTAGGAAACCGTACCAAAAGCAGACAAAGGGAAAGTGATAAAGATCTAAACAGTATTAGTTACATCAGACACTAATTTTACACTGTATACTTTGTGGCATTTATTTTACTAAAAACATTTCAACTGAGAATTACCTTTGACATCATTCACCACAAATATCCCTTCATAAGGTGTGTGTATCTGTGTATGCTTTTAAACTACTTGGTTATGAACTTACTCTCAGAGTGGACTCAGTCTGTCTATGGACAACATGCTAACGTGCACATAGTCTATATTACAAAGCATCTTGAGGTGACTGATGTTGTGATTTGGCGCTATATAAATAAAATTGGCTTGAAATCAAACTGAATTGTAAATGTGTGTGAGAATTAGAACAGAGTTAATAAACAAACATTTTGGATTGACAGCAATATGTTTTGACTACCTGCTCATGAAATCTGATCATTTTTAAACATTTTATGGTCTGTTTTGTTTTGTTTTTTTAGTCAAAATCAGGGGGAAAAAATGCATTTAGGCCTGTGACACAATATGAAGTTAGTTTTGTATCAGCTTTTTGGAAAGGTGACAATAACAGCAAAACAATTCTTACATTTTTACATAAAACATGATATCATAATTAATAACTTCATCTCTGCAGGTAGCAGTGTTTGATATTAATACGGTCTGTCCTGAGCGCTTTATCTGGGATTTTCTTTTGTCTTCCAACTGTCTTCTCAACCCGCTCATTTCCATAATAATCACCAAACGAATTCATACAATATGAATAATTCCTGTGAATCAAGGCAGGGTGCAGGAGGCTGTCTAAGATCATCATGTACCAGGTAAATTAGATGTTTACATAGACACATGCAGCTACAAAAGCCAAGTGAGCCATGTATGTGGAAAGAGAAGTGTAAGTCTTTGATAGTATTTATATACATCTTGTATGTATGAAGTAAAGTAGTAAAGAGGTATCGAAGTCTGAGATGCAGCCCTATCAGGAGCCTTTGTGTGTTTGTCTAAATGAAAGCATGAAAAGTTTGGGAATTTGAAAACTTTTGTGTATCTCTGTCCTTGTTTGCTAGCTTATGTTTGGTCCTGAGAAAGAGGGAAAGGACCATGAACCAACATACAGTGAATGTTACAGCAACGGGATGCAGGTGTGGAAAAGAGTAGTAGGAAATCACTGCTGCAAGCTGTGTGGTAGTCAGCATTTTGTGATTGAAAAGAAGGGTACAAAAAATAGCCCAAGGCCATTTAAGGAAAAGATATCAGTCACCAGATGGAAAACAAGTTGAAAGCAAATGTCATTTTCCCTGCAAAGGAAAATGTTTGATTTTAGCAATTTAAAGCTGTTCTAGGACTCGGAGGTCTCATGTAGTTCATTCATTAAAGCAACACCTCTGATAGAAGCAAGAGAGCTACCCCGTATGAGTAAGCAATTGATATGGTGAGAAGCAAGAAGTCTCTTTTAACAGAAAGAGACTTCCAACAGAACCAGACTGAGGAAGGTGCGCCCATCTGCTGTGCCTGGTTGGGGTTTAAGGGGAAAGAGATGAGAGGAGAAAAAGCAGAGCACAGAGAGACCACAGACCGGGACAAAATGCACACTGCGTGAGATAGTACATGAAAGAAAATCACATGTAATGTCAGGATAAAATGACATTTTTGAAAGGGTTTTAAGGTCATTTTCATTCTCTGGGTAAAAGAATAATGTTTTTTGTTTTCATAGAAGGTGGTTTGTGTTATGTGCAAAGTCCCAGCAAACATGATGGAAATGGCATCATTCTGTCCTGGATAAAAATTAGTTGGGAGTAATGGAAAACTTAAACTGTTGATGGACAGATGTCGACATTGTTTTCATACGTAATCGATGTCCCATCAGAACAAAGTATAAATATCAAAGAGTTTATTACAATGAAGTTTGTGTCATAAATACTTTTAAGCCATTTATGGTTATATATGTAGATTTTGTTATTTGTTCTGTATTGAGCTCTACAGTGAGTGCAACAATCATCATAATACAGGTCTGTAGATGACGCCATCAACATGGCCCTTCACTTCATCCTGCAGCATCTGGACTCCCCAGGAACCTACGCCAGGATCCTGTTTGTGGACTTCAGCTCTGCCTTCAACACCATCCTTCCAGACCATCTCCAAGGAAAGCTTTCCCAGATGAATGTGCCTGATCCCATCTGCCGGTGGATCACTGACTTCCTGACGGACAGGAAGCAGCATGTGAGGCTGGGAAAGAATGTCTCGGACTCCCGGACCATCAGCACCGGCTCCCCTCAGGGCTGTGTTCTTTCTCCTCTGCTCTGCTCCCTGTATACCAACTGCTGCACCTCCACCCACCAGTCTGTCAAGCTAATCAAGTTTGCAGATGACACCACCGTTATTGGACTCATCTCGGACGGGGATGAGTCTGCCTACAGGAGGGAGGTTGAACGTCTGGTGTCCTGGTGCAGCCACAACAACCTGGTGCTGAATGCCCAGAAGACAGTGGAGATTATTGTGGACTTCAGGAAGCACACAGCCCCACTCCCCCCATCATCCTGACTGACACCCCCATCACCTCTGTGGACTCATTCCGCTTCCTGGGTACCACCATCACCCAGGACCTGAAGTGGGAGCCCACCATCACTGTTCAAGGCTTGGGAAATCTTTTTGTAGCCTAAGCCTGCTTTAAATTTCTCAATAACTTTATCCCTGACCTGTCTGGTGTGTTCTTTGGACTTCACAGTGTTGTTGCTCCCAATATTCTCTTAGACAACCTCTGAGGCCGTCACAGAGCAGCCTTATTTGTACTGACATTAGATTACACACAGGTGCACTCTGTTGAGTCATTAGCACTCATCAGGCAACGTCTATGTGCAACTGACTGCACTCAGACCAAAGGGGGCTGAATAATTACGCACACCCCACTTTGCAGTTATTTATTTGTAAAAAATATTTGGAATTCATGTATGATTTTCGTTCCACTTCTCACGTGTACACCACTTTGTGTTGGTCTTTCACGTGGAATTCCAATCAAATTGATTCATGTTTGTGGCTGTAATGTGACAAAATGTGGGAAAGTTCAAGGGGGGCGAATACTTTTGCAAGCCACTCTACATGGTTACTGGAGGGAAGGGACAAATTCCAATCCAAACTGAGATTGTTCTTTAAACTCTAACCAACACTAACATATTTATTGCTTAAACATAATGAATGAGTGAAAGCAAAAGAAAAAATCAAGTTGAAATCCAAAAATCTGTGAATGGCAAAGGGGAAATAAAAGGAAAAGTCAAAAGGAAAGGACGGTCTTCTGACTGATAAACTTGTGACAGCAGAGACCTGCTGCAAAGTTAGAGCTGAAATTAGAGTTCAGTAGGTACACCCATTGATCAGTTTTTCAAAAGATAGTCTCACCATTCCTTGAAGAGTCCTTGGACCTCTATGCAAAGCTCGTCCGAGGTGCTAAAGTTATTTAAGAGCATCTGAAGACTTTGTGATTTTATCTTCCTCCCTAAACTGAGCTGCTGTGCTGCCAGTGGACGTGCCCACGTTTGTGATTGGTCAGATGTCAGACTGAAAAAGCCTGACTTATTAAGTTGATAACCACTTTTTGTGACCGCTTAGCCTGAATGTCAGTGTTAGGTTAAGTCAAGCCAGATAAGGAAATTAGGTGTGCTGGATGTGCTGAGCTTGCTTCATAATACAGAGCTTTGGTGCCTTGACAGATCCGGGGTGGCATTATGTGACAGTCTGAAATGAGAAAACCTTGTTATTTTTCTGCTTCTTTTTGACAAAGCCAGGCATACTAAAACGAATAAGCTTGGTTTTCTGTTTATTTATTTGTTTTACTCATATCATTTGGTGGTTTATCAAAGTAGGTCAGAAGGGATGCAGTCTGATCAAATCTAGGGCTGAACGATTATGGAAAATAATCTAATTGCGATTTTTTGCCCCAATATTGCGATTGCGATGCGATATGCGATTATTTTTTAAGGTCTTTGTCTTCTGTATTATTAAACAAAGACAAGCAATACATCATATAGTATGG